ACACCGAACACAGTAAAAGCCCCAGTGCGGCACCTAGCTTACCTAGGGAGGGGTATTTATTTGTGGCGTTGTTTTGTATGTGTATGTATATATATATATATATATATATATATTTATTTATTTATTTATTTTATTTATGCATTTATTTATTTATATTTATATTTATATTTATATTCATATTTATATTTATATTTATATTTTCGTTTATTTATTCATTTAAAAACAAACTATGTACACAAGCCCGGCAGGTCAACCAAGTGAACAGATCGATCTCGCGAGAACAGGGTACAAGTATCTCAAACTAATTGCAGGTGATTGAGTCAATCTGTCTCGCCGACAAAAACATGTCTGAAAGAACCCACGCCTGGCCAGTCAATCACCCAATGAACCAACCCAAAGACGGCAAACAAGAAGTATCTTGGAGGCTTTGCCAAACAACCAGGACTGGGGTCCGAGCTCGAGACTTCTCGCTGTAACACAACTTGCTCGCAGAACACACCACTGCAACGAGCAGGTATGCAAAAGGGGCCGTCAAGGCTGCACGATGCAACCCCGCCTGAATCACTGCCTCTGCAGGAAGCTCAGCCCGAGCTGAAACAAATGCCTCTGCAATGTGACCGACGAGCCCAACAAGCGTCAGTGCTTTGGGATTTGAACACTCAAACAGCATTACTCGACAAGTGAATCGTTTCCATTTCCAGGCCTCGTCCCAAAAGATGACGGAGCGATTCAGCTGCCCGTGAGCGCGGGAAAACATGCTCCCGACAAAATGCTGGAACAACTGCGTCGGGGTGCTGTAGGTCTTGCCTGAAACGGCCGTATCCGAAGCAACGAACAGCAGCAGAGAAGTCTGGATCCACTCGGCCAAGCTGCCGCCCTCGGAAATGGACAGCCCCTGCCAACATTCGAAGGGCACCTCGTCGCTCCCTTGCAAGGAGGGCGTGCCCCGTGCCGCAAGGAGATTGAAACTGTTCGCTGGCAGGGAATGCTATGGACTGGCTTCCCTCGGCCCAGGGCTAGCTGATGCTAACTGACCTGGTGGGGACTACCCTCGGCTGCTTATCCAGAACCATCCCGCGCCTAAGTGCAGGAATTGATCGTGAAAGGTGGTAGTCGTCCATTCTGCAAGCAGGCCCTGCAGGAAGTCGAAAACATCCTGCAAGACATGTCCAAGCATCAGTTGGGCCCGACCGAGACGTGCTTCAGAATTGCAAGGACAAGAGCACCGCGACCGAAAAGAAGAAAAGGGCGCCGTCCTTCGTGGGCTTGAAAGCTAGCCGCCGCGACCTTTCACAACGAGCAAGTTTCCGAAAGTACCATTTCACGCAATGGGGCCTCTCCAAGCAGGCTTGTTCGAAGAGCTCTGGGTGCGACTTGCTCCAGGAGCTCACATGCCCAGGCCTGACAACAACACGTGTGGCCATCGGACGGCAGATACCGCATCTCGTTTCGGAAAGCTGCTCGTGCAGTGCACACGGCATGACTACCACTGCCTGTAAACTCAACTAGAGTCAGTCTATAGCGTAAACACATCTGCCGATCCTGATTCAGTGCAAAACCCACCGCCCACTCTGATCCACTTCGGGGCCATGCCACGGTCTCACGCCCCGACTTTTGTCAACCCTTTCTGTAGCGGCTACGCAGGAGCAGCGTCTGGCTCAGCGAGGTTCGAAGAGGACTGAGAGACGGCATGTGAACATTAAACTGGAGAGTCTTCACCCCTGCACGTGCTTCTTCCAGCCGGCCGGGTGCACGGTTGTGCATGAGGCCCCTGCATGTCAAACTCGGGGACGACCCGGACGCCGCGCAGCTGCGCAAACTCAACGACGTCCTGTACGTCACGGATAGTGTACCTTCCAAGGATGATTGCAGGTCCCCTTCTCTGCAATTCTCTGCACCCCGCAGTACACAGCTGCACTGCACCGTGGCTGATCTTCGTGCGAATGCATGAGCGCAGGTAGCCCTAGTGCCCAAGTAATTCAACTTCCTAGGCATCAGGCTTTTCCGAACCAGAGATGCTCTCAACGAAACATTCCTGTTCCCGAAAACGGCGCGGCATGCGCTGTGGTACACGCTGGAAGGTTCGAAGAGAATTGGTTGCTGTTCACGCGAGGCGCCGGCGGAAAAACGTTGGGCCTGCTTGTCCTCTGGGGTCTCCTGGTGGTCTCCTAAAGAGTGGTCCGGGTGGTTTTGGCGGTCTCCTGGTAGGATCGTCTCCTGCTGATCTCCTAGTGGTCGTGATGGTCGCGATATGTCGCGGTCGTCTGGTCGTCGTGGTCGTCGTGCCGGTCGTCGTGGTCGTTAGTTGGCGTCGTGGTGCGGCGTCACTGTTTGGGGATCTGTGCTTCCACAACAGAGATCGGAAACGGACTTCACAGCAAACATGTCCGCGCCTTTCGCCTGCGCTCCACGCACCCTTCTCTGCAAGCTCCGGGTGTGACGAACTAGGCATCGAGAATGACCTGTTCAGCTTCATTTCCGACCACTTCAAGAGCCGTAAACAGCTGATTAATGATTGCCGCCTTGCTCACACCGCTCGCATCACAACATCATCCACCAAGCAACAGCGCGTTGAGCTCTGGGAATTACAGTGGACGGTGTTTCAACGGACTGTTGACGAAGGCCTGAAGTTCTTGCCGCTACGATGATCCTTTTAGATTCTGGACGTAATTGTGCTGCGATTCTCATCGGCATCGAGAAGCAGCGCGTTTGTTGGGGCTATGCCAGCTAAGGGGCTCGTCCTCTGTCAGGTGCCAATGCAGCACATTCAGCTTTGCAAAGGACCTGAGCTGCCAAAAGGAAACTGCCAACATGTCCGTCGGACTGTCAGGCGAAACGCTTTGATGACCAATCGAAGCATGTTGTCCTATTCCTTGCTTCGGGGCTCCACTGGATGTGCCCGGCACACAGCTGCGATTCAGCCATGCCAACAACATGGTTAACATTCACCGCCAAGCCAAATTGAGCTAGCTGTCCTTGGGCTGTCATCTCCCGTCCCCGATTTCCCAGGAGCTGCCCTTGCCGACATGAAACATCGCCTCGATGGTCCGCTTGAGACCTGACATGCATGACATCGGGGAGCCCCTTCTTCAAGTCCAATCTGGACTCTCCGAATAAAATGAATAAACGAACATGAAAAAGATGATGTACCGAAGCTTCGGTACGGATCGGGGGCAAGAAGTGCCGCGCTGAGTCGACGAGCAGTCCCCGATGTGGAAAGCTCGGAGAGTCCTGGATCAGAAGCCGCTTCAGCCTACTTGTCGAGGTAGCTCTGCACTCTCCAATTCTCCAGCACGGCTTGGCTCTTTCTTACAGTCCTGAAGTCGGAATGGAATCTCGTGGATGGCATAGCTGTCCGTGGGGAAATTGTACTCCTCGCGGCTGCATCGCAGCGGTTGCAATCGAGTTTCGCATCTTGGACCGATGCTGGCGATGTTGACTGAAAGGCCAAACTGTCTGGATTGCAGCCGCGCGTCTACTAGCTGCGAGAGAGTTTCGAGGCCGCGCAGGGCACCCCAGACTGTCTGTGCTGATACTGTCATCTGGCCTCGGAGGTTATGTCTCTTTCACGCTGGCTCCAGCCAAACTTGTGAGCTGACAACGTGCAAGACAAAGCATGGCCAATTTGACATTACCCGTAAATGTCTCAAAGCCCTGCACATCTTGAAAGACGCATTGACCCTCATTGGCAACTTACAGGAACGGGAACTATTCGGGGATGGACAAGCCTTGGATCGAGACAGCAAGCTCGTAGGACTCGTCCACCCCCAAGTCTAGGGGGGCAGCGAGGTCCTGCAGCTCCAAGTGTGCTACCCGGTCAATTCCTCACCTAGGTCCGCTACTGGTATCTGCGTACATAGGATGCCCAAGCCCAAGACCTACTCGCAAGCCCTCCACAAACTGCGCCATGCCCGTCCTTCACCTCCACGTCTGTGGCACTAAGCCTGCCAAACAGTTCAATACGTTGCACAGCTAAAGGAGTCTCAGGGGGCTGGCATTTCTGATTTCTGATGAGGTGAGCAAATGCCATGCCACAAGCATGTCTTGGAGATCATGAACCCTTGACACCAATGTCTACCCAGTAGTCTACTGGAGACACACTGGCTCCGGCCTTCCTTGCTGCCGGTCATCCGGCCGATGCTTCCGTAGTCGACGCAGGCTGGCGAAGGCGGGCTCTTACGCCCGAATGCACAATCCACAATCCAAGCTCCCCTGCCCTTCATTGGAGGATGCTGCAGGAGTTCTATTCGTGCCTGCTGTTCAAAGCATGGATCATATCCTCCTGCAGAAGTGACAAGCTTTCCTCGGGGTCACATGGCGAAAATCAAGATGGCGCCCTAACACACGGATTCAGCCGGGTTTTCTCTGATCAGAACTTCCAAGGCACGACGTCTGCATGATGAGGGAAGAACAGAGCCTGACTTCGGCCATGCTTCAAGTTGTAGATAGCACAGTGGGGAAAGACCAAAAGGTTATCCGGCCACAGACGTGGCCAGCTACTTCTACGAATTCTTGATTTCACGAAAACGATCATAGGGACCTTTGAGCTGTCTGCCTGTTTCCCGGCCTGATACCGCCGAAATGCGTGCTGCAGCACGCGGCAACCAGCCTTGTTTGCAAGTATGGTCCCCCTTGTATACTCGAGCGTGGGAAGTGCAAGTTCAAGCCCTGGTTGCATCAGGAAGAAAAGTTCAGATTGATCAGATCGCCGTCTCACACAGAAAGAGCCGCCCAGCCATACAAGCGTGCAATGTTCCATCTGACTATTGGCTGCTTTCTTTCCTACTTCAGACCCTTCTAGATTTGCGCGCGCCAAATCCGGAAAAGTAAAGTCTGCACACCATGCCCTGCCCACATAGAACATGCCACATTTGCATTCTGACTGGTGCAATGACACAGAACATCCTTTAAAGTCCTACTGACGATCACATTCCGGTTTGTGAGTGGTGCGGGCTACGTGACGACCCTCGAAGGACAACGTCCTCAATGCAGGAGTAGGTAGGACACTGAACGACGCAACTAGTCAACGTGGAATGATATTGCAGATTCAGAGTTACATCTGCCATTCGAGGCAAACGTGCTGGGGTAGCAGTTGGATATGCTGTGCGACAAAATATATAAGGGACCCCAACTCTTGCTTTGCCCGATCTCTGCTCACCTGCTGTTGCTGGCGTGAATTCGAGCAGTCTCGTCGAATTCCATGGCCGTGTAGCTGAAGACTTGATATAGGCTTTTGCCTGTTGTCGGCGACTTGACTTCACCCCTCCGGTCCAAGGACGAGCCACGGGAGGTGCGTGAGAAGCGCACGCTGCCGGCGCGTGAAAGCTGTGCCTGGCTCGGCCACCATGCATCTCTTCGGCTTGATGCTAAGACACGACGGACTGACACTTCCACCTACCAGTTAAGTTACCATGCTCAAAGCTGGCATTTCTCATCTAATCATCTAATCCAGAAGCTGCACAAGAACCCACAGCGAACAAACCTGTTGGGCGCCTGTCGTGGTCCACTGTCAGCGTCCCAGAACCTGGAGGTTGGCGAACATCAGGGCAGGGTCCCGGCTTCGTGTTTCTTGCACTGCTCATGCAATTCTACGCCGTGCAGAAGTCCCGCGCACCTGCAACAACCAGACAGAAACGAGACATGCCATCTGAACTCCAACACTCCAGGTCAAACCCTTCGGTCGACCGAAGCTCTCTCGCTCCGCATCAAACTCCTGAGAAAATGTTGCCTCCGGGCTCCACTCGCCGCACGAGAGGCCAAACGCGGCCGGACAGTTGGTCACGGAGGTCGTAGGAGGAGGGGCCTAAGTCAGTTTTCTGGCCCTTACACACCGGGCCCTACTGAAATCCAGTCCACGAAGCGACCGCTCGCAGTCAAAGGGCGCACTGCTGCGGCGCGCAGAAGCAGGACGCCGAACCTCTCGCAATTGACCGTCACCCTGCTGAAGATGCTTTCGTGCTTTTGCTTGGCACCGTACCGCCCAACTTCTGGAAGCGCTGTTAAGACCAATAGGCATACCTTTTCGCGATCCTTCGGCCCTGGCGGCTCATGCGATTGGAACCTCTCTAAACCCAAAGCTCCCTGAAGGCAAATTCCCGCCAGGAAGCCAAAGCAGCCGCAGCCCGCGGCTGAGCCGAGCGGGCACCTCGGGCTTCCTATTTTCAAACTTTCCTGCCCCGTCCCTTCACCAACTGACGTGTCTGCTGCCACCCAGCTGCCATGGAAACTCGAAGTATTGGGCACACACCGTAGGGCCTTGGCTTGAGCCTCAGACCTGCTCAGTCAACCACGAACCAGTAGCAGGTTTGGCCCAGCAGCGCAGACAATCGCGATAAGGTTTTCTATAGGTTTTCTTCAAGCCTGCGTCTGGCCTACATCTCCCCCACGCTTTTCCCTCCGGCAGCCGGTCAGAAAGTCGCAGGATCCGGCGCATAAAGCACCTCTGTGACGAACAATGTCTGGGCGAGCTTGAATGTGCGACCATTTGAAAAGATGGGTTCGAGGGGAGGAACCAAGTGGTCTAACGTAGTGTCTCGAAGACCAGGAGCTGTTTTGGGTGGACTGGACGAAGCCGCCGCAGACGAGTATCGGCAACAATTGAGGAAGAACTTGGAGGAGCTCTCTGGCACGCCACAGCCTTGAGTGCGCGTGCCTCCGGCAAGGGGTTTGCGCGGGGAATGATTTCGGACTCTTGTCTGCCCATGTAAGACCTGAGGTGAAGTCGTGGATGCAGGGCCATGGCTGTCAGATTGTGACTTGCTAAGACAAGTATAACGCCTGCGCCAGAAGCTCTGTGCAATTCGGTGCAGTCTTCAGCTGCATTAAGCTCAACCTAAAGCTTCGGTTAGGCTGAGGGATAGGTTGAGGATGGAGCTCACTCTGGTTCAACCTCCACTGATTTTTGTCGCGCAGTCACCGGCAACACACAGTCGAGCAATGCGAACTCAGGCAATATAGTATGGCACATGCCATCGAACTCGAACATGCTCCTTCTCAATGCCTAGAATGCCCAAAACTTGTGCTCAGCCGTCTGCATTCTTATGATTCCTTCACACCGGCGATGCATCAACAGCACCTGCACATACAGGATTTCAGCACAACTCCGACACCCTCGCTTTTTGAAGTGCACAGCTGGCCATTTACTTTGGACCTGGAGCTCATCTCCGACTGACTCTGCCTGAACAAATCAAAACCCTTGGCCAGCTGCTGAGGGCGGACGATCAAAACTGCTTGTTGCAGCATGGCGTAGCACTGCGTAGCATTGCGTAGCACTGCGTAGCACTGCTGCATGAAGCGCGCAGACTTCCAGCACAGGCCAAAATCACGGCAGTCACCAGGGCCCTTTGGTGTTAGTACATCCTGCCAACTTTGCAGGGAACAAGCTCGTTCCCTGGCAACGGCCGAAACCACAGACGAAAAGGATGCCTGGAAGCTGCTATGGGCAGAGAAGTCACAACCGTTTTGCGGCCCCGGGCGCCAGCTGTCGAGACTCTAAACTAACCCCCAAGTCACAGGCTGATTACGGAGATTAGGGCGCAAGGGTGAATTTGCAGTGCTGTGGCCTCTGCCCAAGTGTGAGCTGTGTCCACCCGGAGTGGCCAAGGCCAGGCCAGGGCTGCGGGGGTGCGGGGTAGTGGAGCTTGGGGGCAATGTGCAAAACCGAGGGGTCGTGGGTTGAAACGGCTGAGGGCTGCGATTGTAGCCTTCACTCCAGGGTGAAGCACCTCCTGTTCTGCTCACTCCTCGGTAACATCAAGATGAGACAAGTTCAGCCCACTCGTCTCTTTGACATTGTGAGCGATGCATGACAAGGCATGGCAACGAATGTGCACAACTACCGAGCCCGCCCTCAATGCAAAAAGGCACACTCGTCTCTTCGGTTCTCAGGGCCAAGCAGCTGTGTCACGGCCTTGGTCCACGGGTTGGCCCGAGCTGCGAGACGGTCTCGGGAGCCCCCCAAAATAGGAAGGCAGCCCTGACGGGGACAGCTAGAAATTGAAAACAAGCTCACCTCGCGCCAACAACCAAGCTCTCACAGCCTGGGGGCGATCCGATGGAGCTATGCTATGCTGCAATGCTGGTTAAGTTGGGATGATGTGCAACCTCCACCATGGGAGGTTGACCAAATCGACCACTACCAGCACTACCAAAGCGGACCAGCCACGGCTCATGACACAGAACCGACACCACACCCACAAACACCAGGGTCGTTGCGAGCCAGCAGGGACTGCAGCCGCGGCGTCTTTCTTCCTCAGCTGCTCTTCCATCGAAATGAAGTCTTGCTGCCCTCGCATCGTTTGCTGATTTCTGCACAAAGCACACAGCATGCCAAATACTTCCGCGAGTCTTCGGCGTTTCAGGAGATGCTGACATCTGACTCTTTGGCACATTTCGGTGCTGTATTGCCGCCGCATGAGAAAAGTTGGGGACAGCAAGTCGGAAAAGCTGCAGGCCATGAGGTCCAAAACTGTTGGGTTTGCCAAAGGGGCTCCCCGCTCTCAAATCCAGGCAAGCTGCGGGGGTCCCAAGCGCGTCGGCACCGCTGTCAGACCTCGCAGCACTGGTCGTTTGCCAAGTGTCAAAAGGCGGCGAAACATGGGCGATGCTTAGGGACAACGGAATCGATCAGAAAAGTTTGCGTGCCACCAAGTTGGGACTGGTCTAATCAGAACTCCCTTACCGAAGTCCATTCAAGGCAAGTCGCCACCGAGCTTGCTCAGTGCGAGGGGCTTCGGCTGTGGGACCTCCTTGGAAGACGGCTGCACAAGTCCGCTATTCATGCTGTTCTGGCGCTCGCTTGCGCCGGACGATGCCAGGCCAAGGTATCCGAATTATCCGAGCATCTCAATGCAGTGGAAGCTGCAAGCGCAGGAAGCGAGCACAAGTTCTGCTGCAAACTAATGCCAGGATTTCATCGAACGCAGAGGCAGAGGGATCGCTGGCATCTGCCGCCCAGGCTTAGATCAGGCTTTACATATTCCGATTGCAACTTCGAGTTGGTTGAGCGTCCCATTTTCGGGAGCTGCGAACTGGGATCGGGCATGTTCAAGCCAACATCTTGGGACCCGCACGTTTGAAGCAGAAACACGTGTTCCGGAAGTCTGCGAATTGGGGGCACCTTGGTGCAGTAGAAGCAATCAGAAGCTGGCTTCGGCTTCGCGACGGTCGGTTCCACTGATCCTTCGAGAGCCCATCTGTGCTGTGCAACTCAAAAACCTTATTTACCAAGTGCCTGGCCCTTGTCGCCTGCGACCTGGGCATGAAGGGACTCACGGTACATGAGGGTGCCTTGCTGGCTTTGCGAAGCGCTGAGTCGCGTCGTGCAAACGCCCAGGCCACTCCAGTGAGGCACTCGAAACACTGTAGCCCTGGCATGACAGTCAGCCCCATCGTCACAATCCTTTTGAATCGAACTGATCAGAAGAATCTGCTGGGACTCTTTGGTCCTCGATGTCTAAACATCCGGGCATGTGGTAAACCCTCTAAGCGTGAATCCAGAGAGATGTCATGCTGCCGCGCTGGCAGACTCAACGTGTATGCTCTGCTCTCATCTTTGAGCACCACTTGGCAGGAATTTCAATGACTCCTGGCCATCACTCCGGCATGGATCTGGAGGGTGCGAGAAGCGACATGACCTGGGTGGGCCCCATGCTAAACAAGAGCACGTGCAAAACGACCCTGCTGCTGCCAGGAAGCTGCGATGAGCGACAGAAGCAGAGCGACGAGACGGGGCCACAAGCTGCTGTGTAGCGCATGCCATACCTTGGCCAGGTGTGCAAGGCCGCCGGCACATTTGAACAACTTGAGCTCTGGCTTAGCTGCCGCCGGTTCTCGGCTCTTCCATTGACCCTGTCTTGTAACACATTGGCCACAAGGTGTGAAGCTACACTTCGCCTCTAAATCGGTTCGGCAGATGGAGGACGTCTCGCACCACATGCCTGATGCCTCGTAGCAGCACGCACGAGCATATCCCCACCGCGTCCACGGCTTAGCGTCGAGGATGCCAGATACCGTGGTGCGCGTGTCGTCATTCGAACCCACGGCAGTACATCAACATAAACAGATGATACGGCATACTCTTCTTCCCACCTGACCCAAAGGTCCTCTCTGTCCAGTCATCCGGGACGCTGCGCCGGCGGCCGCAAAGAAGCAGGATACACCTGAAGCAGCGCCAGCGGCATGGACTGTTCTGCGAATTTCTGCGAGATCGCAGTATTTTACCAGTGCTACCAGTCGCCGTCAGGCCCTCAAGCCTCACTACTGCGCAGTAGTAGCAACAATTGTCATCTCGTGGCGAGGCCCCTTGCGGGCCAGGGGGGCCTCGACATTACAGTTGCAAGCTCGCCAGCACTGTACAACAATTTCCTCGTGACTGTCTGGCTCGCGCTCTGTCGTTTGTTTCTTGTCCTACCGAGAAGTTGGGAAAATGAGAGCAGAACGAAGCAGGACACGGACCTCGCCCCGACAACGACCAGTGCCCAACATCGGCCGACCCATCGACACAACACAACACAACCCTTTTTGCGAAGCAGCCGATTTAGCCCCTCTTCTGCCCTCTCTTGTGGCCGAGCACCGCGGAGTGCAGGTACCCCAGAAGAACCGAGGCGCAGCGCATTCCGAGAGCGGTAGGGCCTGATCTCTCTGTCCGTGTGTACACACATAAACACACACACACATACTCACAGGTGTAGGAGGCAAAAAGCAACCAAATATCAGTGTGTTGCTTCGTTCTCTCTAGTCGTACCCACAACTGTGTATTTGAGTATGCTTGTATAGTTTGCTTCTTCGTTCGTTTGGCCAGTA